TAAATCAATCCCAGCTTCAGTGAAGCAGTAAGTATTGTGTCAACGACACGCGAATAAATGACTGATCGGAATAAGAGAAATGCAGTTAAAACAAGTTACAGTAAAGAAAAATTGCCCATCACGCCGCGTGGGGCGTATACGCCCCACGATTAAATGAGGGCATCAGCAATAGTATTAAGATGTCCATAATTGACTGCATAATGAATTTTTAAAAAATTCTTCATTTTACAATGATAATACCAAATGGCTTGAACGGAAAGTTCAGCGTGGGGCGTATACGCCCCACGCGGCAGGGAACGTGTTAATAACCCGTAAACAAAGCCGCGGATTGCATTTTCGCTAAGGAGAAAATTGCTTCGAACGACCTCAGGAACCCCCCGTTTCCGTATTACGAGACACTTTTGGGACACCCTGTATACAATTCATTTAGAACAATTGAGAAGTATAACTGCTCTCACACGCTATAGAATTGTGACATTATTCGAAAATATAATGTAAATTATATTATTATATTATACACATAATGATATTACATTATTATTTAATTATATTATACTTTGTCTATTGGTGCAAAAATAAATGTTAGTTTAGTTCAACAATAGGGACAATAAAGGGTCAATGATTTCAGCGGATAAAAAATAAAGTTACTTTCTTGCTCAATGCGTCAATTAGGGGCGAAATAGAAATGTTCTTTTTCTTTTCTTGCGATTCGAATGACGCAAGAGCGAAATCTTTCTGCTAGCTCTATCCCGGTGTAACGACACAGGGCTGCGTTTTAGAGGACGGAAGGTTCCGAAGTGGGGTTTGAAAAATTAGTTTCATGAAGTAGGACGTACCTTAAACCGGGACCGGTCATGTCGGGACAGCCCGTCATGGTGCAGAACTCGGATATCGTTCCGTAAACGAGGTTGATGTGATCGAACAGTGCGAGGGTGTGAGAGGCCAGCCACTCGTTGTAGTCGAGGCCAGGCGGCAGATCGACCAGCATCCTCAGGTCCAGTTCGGGCAGCTGCCTTTCGAGGGCCGCCTCCTCGAGGTACAATTTCGGATCCTCTGTGGTTCCCGCATCCTTCTCCTTTCGTCGGGCTTTTCTACGAACAGCGGTAAAATCGCTCGTTTAGTTCCTCGCCATCGTTGCCGGCTCACCTTTTTCTTTTTCTCTTTTTTTTTTCTTTTTTATTCCCTTGGTTGCTGCTCTAGAAACGCTGCTCTCAAGCGACAAAGCGAATCATTCGCAGAATGCGATCGTGAATGCCGGGTACGAGACATGTCCGTGCTTGCCCTAACCGTTTCACCCCCCGTCCACCCCGTCCTTAACCGAAAAATGCGTGTCGCTGTAGAGTGTCGGCGCGAGGAAAAGTATACTTTGATGTCTGTTGTACGAGTTTTTCGAGATGCGCGCCTGTTAAATGTTTCTTACGGTATTTATGTCGGTATTTATGTTTTACGTTCAACGTTTAAACGTCCGTTATTCCACAAGTTGTTAACGATAACGATTTATCTTATTCGCGATAGAAACATGGCCACTGCCAATGCCACCGTGGAGGACTATCGAACCAGAAAAATATATTTCAACGTTCATTGCACAAATTTTTACTTGTTCATTCTTTAAGAATTGTAATAAACGTTTATACACGGAGACACGAAATATGAGCCGTTTATTTTGAAAGTGGCATAAGACACTTTACCGTAATGAAAAGCGGTGATTTTTTAATGTTTATACGAAATTATTTATACTGAGAAAAATACCAGTATCCTGAGATAAGAAATACAAGTAAATCTTCTCGAAAGTTAGCATCCATATTTTTAAACGTGTTCAAACGCAAACCCTTAAATATATCGACTTAAAAACAAAGTGACTTATGCCACTTTCAAAATACACGGCTCATATGTCGATGCTTTGCTAAATGTTTAACTACAACGATCAACCCTTTCCGTTATAGAAAAATGCTAATACCACCGTGAAAGACTATTTAATTAAAAAGATATATTTTGACGTTCATTGTACGAACGTTAACCTGTTAATTTCTTAAAAAATGATACAAATGATCGTACGTGGACACGCAAAATACATATGTCGATGCTTGAAAAGCTTAACCCCTTAATGCACAATTTAAAAAAAAAAACGACCAAAAAAAATCAATTTTTTTTATCTAAGAAAATACATATTTGGACCTTAATTTCAATAAATATTTTAAAAAAATGCAAAAATTACTAAAAATTCAATAAAAATAGTGGACAAATAATTATAGTGAATATTGAATCGCATTGCAGATCGAATTTTGTACCCATCGTACTGTTTTTCATATATTCGAATCTGAACATTTTAGCGACATAAGTTGCGACGCCGACCGTATATATACGGGTCTGCACATTTTGGCCGGTTTTGCACGCCCGTGTTAATACGTTTCTGCGCGTTAAGGGGTTAACTTAACCGCAACGATTAGCCCTTTCCGCTATAGAAAACTGGCAACCACTGTTACAACGGACGGTAATCAAAGCGCAAAAATATGTTCCGCCGCATCTTGATTGTAATTGTTGTTCGTTTATTCGTCACCGATGGAAATTAAGGTTCGCGTCGAGCAGCGTAAAATACGAGCCCGGTTTACCGGAGCCAGAAAACGCATAAACATCTTGTTAGCGGATAACCAATGGCTGCCGGATCGGTGCCCGGTCTTTTGGGATTGCCGTTCGGCCGAGGGACACATCGCGTCTCGTTTATGTTTGTAATGGCGCGGGCACGTAGCGCGAAACTTCTTGATTGGACCGAGCAATCACGTATCCGGCTAATTACCGGGCCCGCGTCGCGACGAGTCGAGCCGAGCCGAGCCCGACAAAGCCGAGGAAGTTCGAGCGTTGTCTCGCCGAAATCAATGGAAAGAACAAACTTCGAGGATCGCTGCGCGCTGATTCCGAATCAAGTTTACCCGAATGACTTCAACGTCGCGAATCGGTCTTCCGATTTCGGTCACGTAGAAATTCCATAGCTCGCGAACACACGCGAAACTGTTCATGCTGGTTTAATACCGCATCTACCGAGCACTAAATATAATTGGTACCTTGAATCACCGTAATTAACCCTTTGCACTGTAACGATCCGGACTCGCGATGTAGATTTCATATACTACTGTGATCAAAAAGTAAGGTGAAATTGTCATTTAAAACTCCCGGACATTAGGAAGGCAGGCAATTGTTTTTTTCCTAGGTTGGTAGGACTGTCTATAACAATTGCCAAGCGTCTGTTTGTTAAAAGGTTTAATTATCTCTGAGTTACACGTGTTTTAGTAAACGACCAAAAGTGAATTTTTCGATTTTTACAATGGGTGATTTTGTTGAGCAAAGAACTTGCATCAAATTTTGTTTGCGGAACGAATATTCTTGTGCGGACACGTTGAAAATGTTGCGGAAGGCCTTTGGTGATCAAACTATGGCACAAAAAAACATTTATAAGTGGTACAACGAGTTCAAAGCGGGCCGAGAACGCGTTGAAGACGAACCGCGCTCTGGACGACCATCAACGTCTACCGACGAGGGCCACGTCCAAAAAAATCGAAGATTTGGTGCTTGAAAATCGTCGACTGACAATGAGAGACCTCGCTGATAGTGTTGGAATATCATTTGGCTCAGTCCAAACCATTTTGAAGGATGTTTTGTGTCTCAAACGCGTCAAGTCTCGATTGGTGCCATGTCATACTGCATTGGTTCTTCGCGACTTTTTTGCCAAAAACTCGACTCATATCGTTCCGCAACCACCGTATTCGCCTGATTTGGCTCCGTGCGACTTCTGGTTATTCAGCAAACTCAAAAAGCCAATGCGGGGACGCCGTTTTGACACGATTGAGGAGATAAAAACCGAATCGAAGAAGGTCTTGAAGACTATACCGGAAAAAGACTATTCCGACTGTTTCGAGGACTGGAAAAAGCGTCGGAAACAGTGCGTTTTATCGGACGGGGATTACTTTGAAGGGGATAAAATTGATTTGGAAGAATAAATAAAGAATTTACATTTTATAAACAAATTCACCTTACTTTTTGATCACAGTAGTATTAGGTCTACCGGAAAGTTCTGTCCGTTTGAGAAATGAAAGGAAATAATAGATTTTTCATAAATTTAGTAATATTTATTGTACAATATAATTTCCGTCGTTACTTATGACCTCTTGCCAGCTTGATGGCAATTTGTGAGCAACATTTTTCAAAAATAGATTTTTCATAAATTTAGTAATATTTATTGTACAATATAATTTCCGTCGTTACCTATGACCTCTTGCCAGCGTGATGGCAATTTGCGAGCAACATTTTTCAAAAATAATATATATATATATATAATTTCTCAAATGAATATGTGCATATCTATTGAAATTTCCAATGACATTATCAGACAGAACTTTCCGGTAGACCTAATGCTATAATCTAGCAAATACGAATGTCATTCGTTCTTTTCTTTTCAAAGAAAAATTCTCTGGTTCTATCAATGAAATTATTAAGAACATCGATCGTGGTGCAAACGGTTAAATTGCAGTCGATGAATTGCACAAATTTTACTGCAAAATTCGAACAATCGTTTCCCAGGAAATTCGTAATTTCGATAGAAACGAAACGATAAATCTGTTACCGATCTTTCGTAATTAACACTATGCCGTCCGGTGGCATCACGCTGGGTGCCATGCAAAAACTATCTGTTGTATGCCGGTGGTACCACTTTGGTGCCATTTGAAAAGACTGAAATAACATTTGAACTATATATTTCTTGGGTGTTAAAAGGCAGCAAACTGACCATAGCATTGTGCTTATTTAAGTAAGAATTAAGTACGAAAATTCTTGAACGACATATCTTAATTTTAGGAATTTGTATTACCGCAATCTTCGAAATTTCTTTTAAAATCTAAAATTTCCAAGCTATTATGCCGGCGTCAAACGAAAGAATCATATCTAAGATCTGCGGACGGCATAGTGTTAATATATTAAGTTTAGACTAAATTATGCGCAAATAGATCTTTTTTCAATAAATTAGGCAATTTTTGTGCCGCTTTCTACGAAAGCGTTCTCGTATCCAAAAGTACAGTAATGTCTCCCTAACTGACGCTCAGATTGTGCAGAAAAACGGACAATTTGGGAAGACGAGATACGATTATTCGAGTCTTGCGGCTTGTTTTTATAATTGTCGACAATTCGTAACTATAAAAATGAACCGCAAGGATCGAATAATCGTATCTCCTCTTCCTAAATTGTCCATTTTTGTGTACAATCCGAGCGTCAAAGCTATTATGCCGGCGTCAAACGAAAGAATCATATCTAAGATCTGCGGACGGCATAGTGTTAATATATTAAGTTTAGACTAAATTATGCGCAAATAGATCTTATTTCAATAAATTAGGCAATTTTTGTGCCGCTTTCTACGAAAGCGTTCTCGTATCCAAAAGTACAGTAATGTCTCCCTAACTGACGCTCAGATTGTCCACAAAAATGGACAATTTGGGAAGACGAAGATACGATTATTCGATCCTTGCGGTTCATCGTATCTCCTCTCCCTAAATTGTCCATTTTTGTGTACAATCCGAGCGTCAATTAGGGAGACATTACTGTGCACCGTATTACGAAGAATTATTCAATTGTGTCGGTTTCGCGCGAGCGCTTCGAACGCGACAGAAATATCGATTAAAATTACGAAGAACGGTTATCAAGGCATCGTAAGAACCGTTCGAACCTTCTTGTAGAAAATGGGCTCCGTCCGCGGCGCAATCGAATCGACTTCCGCCCTACACGGAGCGCATCGATTGCACCGCCGAGCCGAGCCGAGCCGAGCCGCGACACATTATTCACGATGCAAACAGTCGGCGAACGTATCGCTGGCCGATTCTCTATCTTTGATTACAGGCTCGCGTAACACGTGACTCCGGCCTGAAATTACATCCCATTGATTTCGGCGTAAACTGGCGTCTAATTATCGAGCAGAGACTCCCGGCCGTGATTCGTCCGCGGTGAATCGATCGATTCTATTCGCGGAGAACGGGACAAGCTCCGGGAACAGATAAAATAGTCTACGCGACCTCGACACACCGATAGCCGTCCCCGCGCGCGCGCGGTTTCA